TATACATGTAATGTGGGCTCGAAATCGTGACTGAGCTTGTTTTTGCAACTGTTTGAAGCGATCTCGAGTGAATCAGGCCAATCAAGGGAACGAGCATATGAAGGAAAAGAAAAAATTGGACATCAAACTGCCCCCTTTTCTCATTTCTCACCTAATTCGCTAACGACCCCACTCCGATTTATTACGATGAGAATGCGGAGAAGACAAAGATAAACGAAGCGAGCAACAACGATGGATATTTGTCCGTCTGTCGGCGCATTCATCTATTTCCACCAAATAGACTATATGTGTGAATGTCTCCTTCAGCAACACTCGTTCGATTTCGATCCTTTATCTATAGGGTGTATGTATATATGTGTACACACACACTCGTTATAGATCATAGCTTCTGCAGACGCAAATGGCGTATTCCAGACGCTGAGGGTGAGTGAACAAGTGGCTATCAGTCTCGCAACTACTTGTAGCTTGCTAGCTATTTGCGTCGCTGATGGCGGCCATTGCAACAACCTCAGACCTCAATCCAATTAATCGCAATCTGTTCCTTTTTCGCAAGACTTACATTGAGCAGGCCGACATTGCAATGTCAATGTCATTGTCGGTCGTCTCGAGAGATGTTTTCGGCCGCTGGCATCGCTGCCGATCGCCCGCTCAGCCGCAAACGAACCGGCAGCCAGAGGCAGGCAAGCTCGCGGTCCTTACACCGCAAGCGAGGGCTCTCCCAAATAATCTTTCCCAGTCTCTGGTTCGGCTTCGTTCTCCAGCCCTGTTCAACCTATCTCGCCATCTCTCTTTAGCTTTGTTCTGCGTTTTCCTTTCCTCTCGCAGTCCTTCACAGCGGAGTACTCTGGCACTCGCAAAAAATGAAGGCCCTCTTATACAGTACGTTCCCAATGTAGACTCGGCCCAGTCAATCCCCAACCGCTACTATTATTGGCCAACCATTCTTCTCTATGAATACAATACAATTACGGCCGTCCTGTTAGTCCTACCTGGTTGTCGGCTGCTTTCAGGAGGAGCCATGGCGGCCGCCGCCGCCGCTGTGTCAAAGAAGTACGAGAGTAGTAACGCTGGGAGAAGAGTAGCCCGATAGGTGGGCGACCCTAGAGGGGTTTCGCCCGTTCGGTCGCCAGTTGGAGTACAACTAATCGTAGGTGGGGGATCTAGAGACGCCGTGGGCTCTTAAAGGTTGGCACTAGAAAGGGACTCAGTGCGAGGGTGACAGACACTCATCCAGTTAGCCACCTGTTCATTTGCCAGATTCCCAAACCCACCGCGCCGAGGAGTAGCAGTAGTTTGGCTACCGCGGCAACGGTCGCGACTTGCACCAGTCGCGCGCGGGTTTGCTGCTGGGCTTGCCTGGTCGACCACTCCAAGGCAGACGAACAGACGGATATCCCTATGTGCGCCTGCTTGCTGAGCCTATGCCTTTTGCCTTACCGGGATGCAGCCGCAAGCCCGTTGCAAGGCTACGATGATGCTTCATTGTGTGCATTGCTGATGAAGCCCAACGCTGCTGCTGCTGGTATTATAATGCTACGCCATAGGGTATGCTGCTAGCCTAGTCTATAATATAGTATTGTATAAGGGACGATGTCGGCTGGTCTAGGGTAAGGGAAGATCAGGGTAAGCAGTAGGTCGTAGTGTAGCCGGTGAGAGGTAAAAACTCCCAGCCTGTGTAAGCGTGAGTCTACTTGTAGGACATATATATATGTTGTTCGTAAATAGCAGCTGAATCCTAACTGAATCAGTAGCCAGTAAGAAGCTGGCCATATGGTGGTGTTTAATCAGGAGACGCAGAGATGACATTGCGACAAGATAAATGCAACGGAAAAACTCTCTTGGCATTATCTGGCTAATAGAAAGCATGATGAAGATATCTGTGCTAAATCCACTTATTCGTTTTGATGGTTCAGATCTGAAGCACTGAACACATTGGCGAGTGATCAGAACTGAGCATTCAATACCGGCGTACAGAAGCAACAACAGCAGCAAGATTAAATTCATTATTACCTATTTGTGTAAAAATAAATATCGTCTTTGTTATGTTTAAATATTGTGTTTATTTTAAACAATGAAGACGTAGAACATTTTTAATGGCGCCTCCGTCTCAAGCTACTAATTATTACCATAGAGCTATGGTAGCCAAGAAGACGATCCAAGTCAGTAGTAACGCTTGAAATACATTGCATCGCGTGTGCATAGCATACTGGCGTTTTACATGGACTCTGTAGCTGGTTAATGGCTTACCTAATATTGCAGGGCTTCGTCAGATACGCGCTATTTTTTTATCGTAAGTAGTCTCAGCAGTCGTAGAATTCAATCAATTCTCCATAGGCTGCTTATATTCGGCGTAAGAAACCACTGAGTGAGGGCTAGATGCAATGATAAGGGTCACAGGTGGCGGAAACTCAGTCACGTGACCGGATATGGCGGGTGCCCGAAATCCCAATTTTGGAAGGTCGGATGTAGGGTAAGGCACTGTATAAGAGGGCCAGCCGGTAGCAGTCTTGGCAATTATGGAATATGTGCTTTGCCAACAGATGGTCGCTGACCCAGTCATTGAAGTCGAGAGCAAAGGCCTTGGATAAGGTATCGCTCGTTCGGAAATGCTGATGATGAGGTGATCAAGGCCATCGTACAGAGTACTAGTCGGAAATACACCAAACCTGAATGGATGCGACATTAGTTTATTGAACAATGTTACGCTTCAAGTGCTGCTACTGCTGTTCTTGCTACCACCCAACAATCGTCACATCGCAAAGTTAGCAACATTCAACATAGTGAATTTTTTTTTATTGATCCTTCCCAGATGATACCGTGACACCATTCGGTAGTAACAGTAGGATAGGACATTTGCAATGGACCAGTGGGTTAACGTGGCTATCTTGAACAAAACATTTCATGCTGTGATTTGTAGTGACAATACAGACACAAGGCAGAAAAGCAGGAAAAAGGAAAATTGAGGGAGAATCAAGATAACCTGGCAGAGAACAAGGCCAAAGGTGGCTCCGCAAACGAAAGGCAGTGTCTGTACACCGCCCGTTCGAGCAGGAGTCCAGACTGTGACAGTCAGCGTAGAAGCTGCTTCGCACAGATAGGCACACTTGAGCGAACCCGACCTGCGACTAACGGGTTACTTCTAACTGGCGAACACGTTGTTCCCGAAAGGACATAAAGACAGAGAGCAAGAAGGGGCCCATATATACATATACAGAAATAGGGGGAGGGTTGTGAAGCCTCATCAGAGCCTACAAAACCTCTCGCCCGCTCTCAGATACGAGTATACGCGTGGACACATTCAATGGAAGTACATCACGCAGGCCCGTATCCGCCTGTTCAGACTTGAAAGATACCCTTAAGGGAGCTCCAACTGTAAGTGGGAGGCAATGCCGGTCCCATGCTGTCCTCTGTTTTCCTTTCGTCGCCGCCTGCATAATGCTAGATAAAGTCTGTACGGCTTGTACATATAGAGAACCTAGCAGTTATCTGTATAATTGTCAGCTAATGTCATGAAATTTGCTTGACTCTTTTCTCGCTGTTACTACATTCACTAGTAGTTATGAAGTATAATAATATCGAAAATATAACGATAGCACCATTGCCTTCTCAAGGCTTTATAAATATGAAGCTATATGAACATAATCAGTACCAACTATGCGACAAACTGTCTCTTCTATCCAGCTTAAAAAAGTTAGCCGACGTCGTTTATAACGTAGACTGTGCAAGACGGTAAATTGAGACGGTGAAGTTGTGACGAGGTTATCACAAACGTGCGAGGTTGCCATATGCGGTGTGGCCTCCTCGTCTACTCCTTTGACCCCCCTCCCCCCAGTAGACCTCGTCTCGTCTTTATCTTTTAGTCGGCTTTTGCCTCTCCGTCCTTTTCTGTAGCCTTCCGCCGTCCCAACTACTACTTGATATGTGTGTGGGTGTGAGATGTTGCCACGTGTCCTGCTAAGGTGCGCGTGCCAGTGCGCGTCGTCCTGTCCCATATGGCCATCATACAACGGCCCTACACATACGACGCGCCCCATCTGAGCTTAGTCCCTGACGGGTGCCGCTACCACCGCGGCCAACGATGCAATCTATCTGGACAAACAGTGGCACTCAATGGCGCCAGCCAACTATATTGAGCCACACATAGCTGTATTCTATATTATCGGTCGGTGAACGCGACTGACCGCCCACCGGCGGCAGTTTACCTTAGTCGTTGCACTCCCAGCTTCTTTTCCTAGGTAGAACTAGGCAGCACAGACTTCCAGTTGAAGAGGCGGCAGGCGCGACGACAGTACGCATTACGACAGTACCCGATTTCAAATAGGCTATATTTACACCCAAATACACCCAGTCAAGCTTACTTATCCAATCGTCTTTCAAAGTGGCTGTCAGTGTGTATATATGGTGTTTAGAAATGCTCTAAAGAGAGCACCGTCCTGTACCTACTTAGGGCGGCCGAAGCCGCTGCAGTCAGGCTTGTGGGTGAGCAAAGATGGTAGAAGACCAGCTCTCCCTCTACTAGATGTTCTGTTCTCCTCGCATTCTTCTGATAACTTGAAGATTAAGATGAGGTTAAAATGAGCTAGCTCCAAGCAAATATGGCATTCGTGCCAATATATCCTTCAGGTTGATGGTCATTAAAAACGTAATCGGGCTAATGTTAGTGCCGTAGATGCCGCATTGCTATAATGCAGATGGGAAGCTGCTTGATTAATTACAATGGTCCATCGTATTGATCCGCGGGCTGCTGAAAAAGTTTCGCTAGCGATGTTGCCACAACCTTGATTGATGTTGATGATTATTACAAAAAAATAGAATAGTATATAAGGTATCTAGGCTTTTAGGACTAATCAACTGTTTTTTTTTCTAGTGTAAAGGTGTTGCGGACATCAAGCACTCTGTTACCTAAGGAGTTGTCAGGAAACAACGTGCAAACATGTATTATGCCCTGCACAGCCTAGTCTGGAGGCTGTTCCGTCAGACGGCACTACGTTACCACTTACCTGTCAATGATAACGGGGTCCGAAGGGGTCTCATTTCTGTTGCCGCAGCTCTTCTTATCACAGCACCGACTGAAACAATTTAAAACTACTCTAAATTTAAACATAAAAGTACATAAATGCAGTACATGATCTATTATTAATGACTATAGAATATTTCGTTTTTGTACTGCATCTGTATATGCTTCTTCAGCAGTATCGGCGTCGTTTGTGTATTTGTCACGAGGCGTGCGTGTCACTCGTACCTACCTGCACATAACTTCGTGCGTCAGAAGCACCCGACACATTTCAGGATTCCTGTCCTGACCTTCGTACACAATCGCCTGTCAAACAGGAAAAGATAGACGTGATATGAAACATTTCCGGCACAATTTACTATACTTTTTTACACTATACTATAATTATTTATTTTATTCGCTATATATTACCTATACTTGATTGAAGTCAGCTGTTGCTATGAGAAGTAATAATGAATCTTGAATGCTTCGTACAACTTCAGCAGAAAATTATAACGATGCCTGTGGTACTTCACTATAAATATATATAGCTCCGTATCATCTATCGATAAACGTGTTTGTGCAAATTGTACATGTTCGAGTCTACAATCTGAATTATACCGACCCACATTTACAGCTGGTGGGCAAAAGGGGGTTCTCGTTAGATTGGGCTCCCCCGCAAGACAAATTATTAATTCGAAACTAGATTTTGCCTTGCTTCTCGCCACCCCGCTCTTCGACGAGGCGAGGCGTGAGATAAACATGTATGTCTGTACGTTAGCGAACAAGTTTTCCGTTTCTAGCTTCCTTCGAAAGTAGTTTCTTTTTTTGCGGCGTATTTCTCCAAGGCTGCTGCTGCTGAAGCAGTCGCTATACCTACCGTCGCTCTTGGAATATGGACAACTCGCATGAGCTGTTCTTTCGGTTTCATCGACTTTTTCCTGAGGCCTTTTTTGCATTGAGAATTAAAGATCGAAATCCGAAAGGAGGCTACTTTGCCTCCGCCCCCCGTCCGTCTTACCTTAAGCATGCAGGACGGAGCTCGATGTTGGCGTCGAGGCAAGTTTCAAGCGGAGCAAGTTCGAGAACTGATCTCGTAATACGGCGACCGCGTGGGAGGCCGCCGATTGATGTTAACATACCGAATCAACTCATTCTGCTTGCCGGGTCGCTTACATGAGCTACCTCGGTTATGGCGAGAGCAAATCAAACATCTGATTATATTTCGAGAGCTTCCTTCTTTACTCTGATCTGTCGTGAAGTTTCTGAGCGGCAAGCTTCGTCCCAATTGCTGACATAGGACCAATGCGCTTAAGCTACTTCTTGTTACGACGAACCTTTGTTCGAACAGGTGACGAACAGGCGTTCATATATCATTCCGCAAGTTATTGTAACATCCGTGCGCCGCGCACGATATGGCACATGGTAGCCGCAACGAACGCGGTTGTTCAACCAGTCAGAAGTGAGGACCAACTTATGAAGACAAGACAAAGGTATATATATAACTGAACAATGGCTATCATTTATTATTGCGTGCAATTTTCTGCAGTGAAACGATGGGTACTTGTTTTACAAAGCATGCCAATAATAAACCAATAGTAATGCTATTTTCATGTTTCATTGAGCTTTTTTTATATTTATATTACACATGGATTTTCTTTCCTCTAAAACTTCAATTCTAAAAGCATCGTATCACATTGTCAACTCGATAAATCATTTCTGGTTATCGAATGATCCGATGGTGGATGTCATCCAAGGTTGGTGTCGTAAATAATTTCGCAATTGATTCAGTCGTGGACAAGGGAAATCGACCGATTCCCGTGTTGCGAGTCAGGGGCCAAAGTCGTCCCAGCGTCCCCACTGCATTGACGGGGCAGTCGACAAAATATCGAGAAAACGGCCGCTTAGAAACCGACGCCTGATGGGACAGAAGCGTCGGTTACGTAGAAGGTTGTTGTCGATAAGTGCAAGGAAAGGCAACGAGTCAAGAAAACTCAGTTCTCCTTCCATTCCAGCAGCCAGTGACAATCGTCAATCGAAGTGGATTGGCTACCGCAACCCCTACCATCATCAGAAGCATCAGCCGACCACCAGTAGCATGCTACGATTGTTTCTTCTGAGTCCGACCCGTTTACTTAAGCGGTGGGTCGGGCTGCATTGTCCACTGTCCTGCGGTGTCCCATGATGATCAATGGGAGTCACAGCCGTGACAGCTAGGAGAAGCCAAAAAAGCCAACGACCACAGTGGAGCGACGTCCTCTCCTTGCTCGCGTCAAGGGGGTTGGCGAGAACCGGCACATCTCTCCAGACCTTCGTTTTTTTCCTTTGCCTTATCCCCTTGAATCTCTCATTCTCTCTCTTTCCCTGTCTCTCTCTCGCTCGTGAAACGACTCCAGAGATTGAGAAGCGAACGTTCGTCTCTTTCGTCGTCCGCTTTTCTCTTGCACTTCTTCGCGGACGGTTATCCTCACACTCGGTCATGTCAGCCTGCTTGGCCGCCCTCCCTGCCTTTGTGTCCTGCACCCTGTGTCGACGAAGACGAATAGATGACTGGGATATTGTTCGAGGCAACCACCGTGGGCAGGCAACTGAGGAAATTGGGATAGAAAAACGGGGAAAGGGAAAAGATGAGGTGTTGTTGGTCGACACACAGATCAGAGAATGCCCGCCACTACCGTCAATGGTACCAACAACTGTCTTATGGGCGGTGACATTTTTGGCCATAGCTTATGGTGTACTCGCACTGCCGTCGCGATCGTCCTGGTTTCTTTGCCTAGAGTGACTCAGCACTTTTCGCCGGCTGCTCAACTGACTGACTACCAGCTAGTAGGCACACCAGTAGGTGCTCCCGCACCGCACTAGCTTCTGCTTTTGTTACTGTTGTCTGGCATGATGCTTGCCTTACGCTAACCGAATCGGCTCCATAAGGCCAATTCTGAGGACAAAACAAGGTGCACAAGGCACCTCGGAGGGGCAGGAAAAGAAGTTTCTTCCTCATCTCAATCTCAAAACGAAGCCCACCTACATCTACTCTCAACATCGCCGCAGGTATCATCATGAATCAGTGACGGCGCTTTGTGCTTCTGCAAAGCATCTATCTACATATCTGTCTATCGAGATAAGAACTAAATCGTTCAACAGAACCAAGTGCATGAGAATACTATCTCGTCGGAAGAAAGCTATTGACATTCCATTGATAATTCTTTCTTTTTTGGCTTTTCACTGCTTTTTCTTCTTAGCACTATGTTTGCACTGGTTGTGATTGGTTGGGCAATCGTGTGTTTGTCGAGTTCGTAAAGGAGTGCGTGGGCGACTACTACATCTCATACGTAGCATTCTAACTGGTGTCAACGAATAAACCAAAGGACGGATGAGAGCAAAAGACTAGATACGCCAATTTCAGTTTATGTCGTTTGTTGTTATCTGCCATTAACGAAATGGTGAGGCCTGATTTACTCTGCACATGACAGATTTTATGGTTGTGTGTTTCGTTATCGTCTCGTCGGCGCTGCGACTCCATTTCCTTAGTGAAGAATCGCGGGTAAGTTGATAGTGGGGCTCTAGGAAAGGTTAATCGGACATATTTACCCTACTATGGGTAAGCAAAGAAAGAACTAGGCAAATGTTTTCACAGAACCAGATAGGATCATTTAGAAGCTGCATATTACTTTATTGTATGATATTCACTGTCAATAGATTAGAATCAACGAATCAAAAATTTTCGATTCAAGCGTTACTCGACCACCTTCGCTTTTGTAGGGGCTGAAATGTCCTCCCTCGAAAAGCCCACACCTTCTGTTTTGAGTATACTTCGGACAGGGGCCGAAACGGCAGTAAGGTCAATCAGAAATGCCTGCGGACTGAGTCAATATTATGAAGCCAAGCCGTTTTGGAAACGTCCCTGAACTTCATTTAGGAATCGGAAGAGCTCATAGTGATGAGTATAACTCTCTGCCAATCCTTCCAGTGCACATTATGTAGTACACAGAATCGTTAGCGACTACAAAAACTGAAGGTTTCATCCTGAGCGAGAAGATGTTGCTGAAATAATTAACTTTCAGGAAAAAAGAACTACTCTCAAGTGAACCCTGTTTTCTAGCAATTCGAAAACCTTTAGGTTAGGACTTGGTAAAAATAGGCGTATGACAAAACTGGCTAGGCATAGATTCTGCCCCTCAGCGAAATCATCAAAGTTGATGATATCGATGTAGTTTGCAATTCTTTTGCTGTATAAAAGAAGAATTGCTGTATAAAAGCGCGCTTTATCAAAACTAGCTCAGACATGTAACAGTTTCATCAGATATTTGTATCGTTAAAGTCAACTCCCCCTTTCAACTGGGCTGTAGTGTGCGCCCAATATGTAAATGTTCAACACGGTATGCGCGTTAGTGTACCCAGTTAAACGCATATCCAATTCAATAACAACTTTGTCTTGTCCTCTAACACACATTACCCTGTAAACAATGTGCTGCAATGAGCATAACGTGGTGACTTTACAACTCTACCCCGAAAAATTATTGGCCTATGCTGCGTATGTCGGTCCTACACCAAATCGCGTGGCCGCTGATGGCGACACGAATGTAGTCTGACTGCATAGGACGGAAAGTATCGTTGGTTAGTTAGGCCAAATCGGCGCTAAACATCTGCTGTTACAAATTCTTGTCTTTTGATTGCCAGTCTTCAATACAGAACAAGTTTTACTAGTGTTGAAGAACAACGAATAGAAAGGTTGGCGCCCGCTAGCGGCTGGCTAATACAAGTTGGTACTAGTCAAGGATGCCATTGTTGATTGTCGAGTGGAGGAGGTCGAAGGATGCCTATACAAGGCACTTTATAGATCCGATAGCGGCAGCATCGCTGAAATTGACGAAGGAACAAGCGAACAAGGAGAGCCGGATCTCGGCGCGTGTGGCAGCTTCGTCTAGTATCTATAGCCGATCTTCGTAATGATGCCTGTATTGGATCCCAACTTATGGGTAGCTCGAAGTCCAAGGAGAGAGGAGCACAAGAGCACAACCAAGATAATATGGAGGCCGTAGGGGGGGCTAAACTAACAGCTTGTGGGGGACCAGCTAGCGAGTATGGAGTTGATATATAATAGCTGATACAACCAGGTACTGTCACGGATATTTTAGGACGACAGCATTTAATGTCAAAGCTCGAACAGGGTACTAAGAGAACGCAATGGCCACGCCTTCCCTGATGAACTAACTAATCTCTTTGAGTAGACCCATGCGGTTGTTGCGCTCTCCATCCTCATTGAGTTCACCTGAGGTCACAGAAATGGGCGACACCACTCCCCCGCCCAAGTTACGCCCGTAGAACAC